GAATGCCTCACAAAAGTTTGTGCACGACCCATTGCGGACTCCCCAAATGCTTGCTTTAGCATTTCATAGGTTTCCGTAGCCGTTTTGGCGAGTCTTTGGCAAAATTTGATTTGTTCATGAAAATCCGCCATTCCGAAATCGCAGGAGGGTCGGTGTAATGCACTACCAAAACGCCCGTAACTAAGAAACAAATGCTAATTCGATGATGCCGGCTGGCACACTGATTCACTATGAATGTAGGCCGCAACCCCTAGCGACAGAAGCTCGTACTACATCCGGTTCGCCCTCTATTGACACAGTCTTGAAACTTTCCGATCGCACCTCATAAAAGACCAGGGAACAGCTGTGTTGCCACGTATATTTTGTTAGATTCTTGTGTTCCATTTTCTTACTTGAAAGTCACTTCTGATTGGTGTTTAGTATCTGGGAAGTGTTTGCACTGAAATAATTGAAACTCAACCAAAACAGGTCACACCAGACTTGAAATTTCCTGGTAGTCTCGCTGAATGAACTCTTGGTCGCTGAGTTCATCAATAAATTATATTCCAGATTGACTTTTGCTACTGAAGCAGGTGAAATGGCCTCAGGTGTGAGTAGCAGTGAGTTGAAAAAGACTGTAGTTGCACGACTTAACAGCAGGTTGCATCAAAGTCAAGTTGTGACATAACCAGAAGGAACTTGATATTTCTGTTGATTGTGAAATGCCAGGTGTAAGAAGAGTTGCTTCAAACTTGAGTTGAGTTGTCATTAGCGAGCACTCCATAAGAAGTGTGAATGTGTTTGTTGAAGAAACTACTGTATGGAACTGACATCTGGTGTTATTTTGGTTTTCTTCTTTTTGTGAACAGAATGTTAATTGAATGGTGCAAGAATCAAGTGACGCATTGGCTTCTACACCTAAACTAGAACCTCATGTTGCACCATCCAAAGACCAGGTGAGATATCTTATTTAATTTTAGAAGTAACCTACTTACATTATCCATTAACCAATATTTTTACAATTTCATAAGTGTCCAGACATTGGAACTCTGTGTCGATTTTGGTATTCTAGATTGTGACGCTGTGTAAATGTGCAAGTAGATGCTTACACTTAAGAGAAACTACTGCCTACATCATGAGCCCTGACGATGGAGGGGGTAATCGCTTCTTAGAAGCTTGAGTCTCCCTACAAGTTCTCACAGCGTTTTCTCCATTCTCATTCCAGTCTCTTCCTCACTGTGTCAGATGTCCTTCCAAGGACATCTTGGCTGGTTCAGAGGCCTCTCATTTGTTTCAGTTCCAATTATCTTAAAAGTTTCTGTGGCTTTTCATTAGTTTTATTCTCTTAAAATCATCAGTTCTTAATATTTTTCATTCTCTGTTAATTTCAACCGCCTGTATAATTACTTACAGTTATGCCGACAAGCACAGTTGCAATACTTATGGTTTCAACAGTCTCAGATCATATTTTTGTTCTCTTCTTAGTATCAGTTGGTGAATATAGTGACTCAAAAAAAACAACGTTCATGCCGTCATGCGCTGGAATCACAAAGAAGAGTGGGTTTTTTATTTCTCAGTGCTCTTGAGTTTTTACCCAGCAATGTTATTTTGTGTTATATCTGCTTAATTTGTTGGTTTGCCCCATTCAGTGTTATGGCTTATTTTCAACAATATCAACAACTCAGATTATGTGGCGTCATGTGCTGAGCTGATCAGTGAATGATGCACTGTAAATATGTATAAGGAAGAACATTTTGCATCACTTCGGATAATATCCAATATTTTCATTGACTAACTGATGAAAACCTGAATGAGTATAGCTTTTGTGTGGACAGGTTTCTTCAGTATAGTATTCAGACACGTTTAGTTTAAATGAGATTTTAATATTGAACTTACATACAATGTTTTGTTGGCATGAAGGACACACATCTGATATGAATACCTGCACTCATGAATGCATGAACTCCCCCATAAAGATAAACACTAAGCAGGTTTACTTTGTCATTTTTGCCCTGAATGTTTTCTCAGTATCTCTCAGCCTTTGCTCTGGAAATTTTACCGACAGAATTGGTTTCTGTTCACAGAATTTCTAGTTTCAGGTTACATAATGAACATAAAGTTTTGTGAATTAAGGTACAGTTTGACATAAATGTAGTTTATTTACTCAAATAATGAGTAATCTATTACTTTCTACTGTAAAGACTTATGTTCAGATATTTTGTCCACACTGAATTTCTTAATCCAAGTTTGAGTATTTTCATTTATAAAACTGTGCATGAAGTATGTGGCGCTGGCTTCCATCACTAGTGAAATAAGTTTTCCAGGTATTTGCGACCGCCTCACATACTTCTAGCATAATTTATACAAAATTCTTATGTATTAAAATAATAATAATTAGTGTACATGTTACTCTAACAAAGAATATGATTTTGAATTTGTCACTAGTAGCCTCTGCATGTACTGACAGTGACCACTTCCTGAGGATCGTGGTGGTGTTCAACACAGTGGCAGGAGTGGAAATTCCAGTAGGAATTACATACAGCACCTCAAGTTGACAAGAAGACAGAGGCATCAGTTCAGAAGACTGCAGAGGGCCAGTGAATTAACGCCAAAGAACATCTTCTGAATGGATGAAGAGATGAGAGTGGTGAAGAAGAATCATCTTCAAGGCCTCTCCTGAAAGTGCTTGCAGGAACTCACAGCCTGTCCATGGATTCTCTACCGCAGTAACGTATAATTGGACTTTACAATTTTTAACTTTGGCTTACGGGAATAAGCAGTGTAGAATGTTGAAGGAAAAATTTACAGTGGTACTGGGCTCAGAACTTAAAATACTTTTCCATGAAAGTGCCACATAATCTGTGAAATATAACTCATCTCAATTTAATTATTTCAAAAATTACAAACTATGGCAATTCAATTTGGCTTTCACAGTATTAACTCTGTTTGTATCTGTGCAGGAACTATGCTAACATATTACTTGCTTAGTCTACAAATCTGTGCCCTGACTTCCCTTATGCAGTGCCCTCTTATACCCATATACCACCTTCAGTGTCCTGTGCATAAATTTTGTAACCATTCCTTTGTCAGTACCATTCTTCTGTCTGAGTTTCATATCTCAATATTTACAACTAATCTCCCTAAATTTACCATAATTACAAGTCCTGTCCTATTTTACTTCTATCCTGCTACTGAACATCACAGGATTGAAGGGCTGAAAATGCCATTGGGTCTCAGGTTTGTCCTTTGTAAGAGGGTTGTGCATTTCCTATAGTTTGCCATTACTTTCTGGCCCTTTGTCATCTTAAATAGCACAGCAGTATTACAGTTTGCTTGCTTCATAAAGACTTGTTATAACCACCTCAAAAGGGGAGGGCAGTGCAAAGGAGTCTTGGGGATCAAGTGGTTGTGAAGGGACATGACAAAGCAACTGCTTATTAGGATAACAGGTACATATCCAGTGTTTACTGAAACCTTTAACATTGTATGCTGCTTGTTCTCCACAGAAGTTATTCTTTGAGCTCAGATGAACTTTAGGCCTGGAGATGGATATTCACAAACTAAAGGAGAGTACACCATAATTTTATGATGAGCGCTGAAAATAGTAGAGAAACAATCAGGCTAAATTACAGTGGTTTCAAAACCCAAGGCAAAATAGTGGAGACAATCTGCAAAATCTAAGATGTGAAACATTTAGGGAGAAGAAAAGGAGTTACCTAAAGACAAAACATGAACTTGAATCTAATTATAGAAACAGAAATATTAGAGATTTATACAGATTCATAAATGATTTTAGAAAGTTACCAACCTAGCATTAATGTTATTGTAGAGTTCATGCTGCCACCATCAGTAAGATTTTTTAGTCACAGTGGTCCTAGGTCATGAGTCTAGAAATGGGCAGAGTCAAGTCCAAAACGTGGTGGTTGTGTCCAGTTTTGTCAGGGCTGTAATAGTGAGGAATTGGCCTTCCTCACAGCAGAAGCGCTGCTCGCTGTGCACTGCTAGAATAACTTTCCTTGCTTCTGTCTTACGATCACTTAACTAGTAATTGGTGTTCTATACTAATTTATTCTGCTAAGTGCACACACTAAATTTTTGGAAGCTATCATACTTAAACTATTTGAAACAAATTTCTCTTAACTTCCAACTGATCAATGTTGCACCAGTTTTTCAGTTATTTTGTGAAAAATTAGCTGTTCCAAATTTTAAACAATTTTACAACCAAGAGGCACAAACAATTCTAAATTGTTTCCTTAAGCTCCAAGCAATCGCTACCTGTAATGAACAGAAGGGGGAGCCAGTTCTTCATTGTGCTTTTCTCCTGGGATCCTGGCTTTAAAGTGACGATTGCTTGGGTATCAAAATTCAGATTATCACGTCAGCATCTGCAGGTGTCAAGGGGATGTGAAACTGCTTACACTGCTGATACTACAATCTGTTGTGCACAAATGACCAGCTGTTTCACCTTATCTTTATTATAATATTCCCGTTGTTTCAAAACAAAGCGTCCTTGCTTTGTATCTCCTAACTAAATTTAACTGGGGGGGGGGGGGGGGGGGGGGGGGGGGACCGAA